TCGCACAAAGTAAATGTCTCCTCGTGTAATGACTGAGCCATCCAGCCTGTAATTTGAGACTATTTGAGGGGTGAAGCACTGCTGTTCTGGGTGACAGGAATAAAATGGAAAGAAAATCGTAATTGTGATCTTGATTCTCGTCAGCTTTATGCCAGAGCCACTGACTTAACCAGATGTGGGTTTGTTCGTAATGACAGCAAGCTTTTATCTCCAGAACAGAAAATAAAGAGAAAACGCCACAAAGCTCCATTGCTGTATGTCAGCTCTCATCCTGGCTCGCTGTCTGTAAGCCACACCCCCAGATCTACCGCCCTGTTTAAATCTGAACGTCAAAAAGGTGTTGGTGCTAGTCATAATGACAGTGTTACAGAGAGAGGTCAGAAAACTCTCAAAAGAATAAATCACCCCAAAATAATTATTCTCCCATAATTTGCTCACTTTTATGCTGTCATTTTTTAAACATTTCTTTCGTGTGTGTGTGTGTTCCACATAAGAGATAAAGTGAAACATGATTGGAACGACATGAAGAAGGATAAACGATCACAGAATTAAAATTTTTGGATGAACTATCATCTTAATTAATCTTATAGCCATAGATTTTTCCACAATTGATTCAATTACCCCACAGGTTTTTTTTCATACTGTATGAACCAATGTTCGGTCGAACTGACACTGGTTAAAGGGTTAGTTCACCCAAAAATGAAAATTGGCTTGTGTTTTACTCACCCTCGAAGCATCCTAAGTGTATATGACTTTCTTCTTTCAGACGAATCCAGTCGGAGTTATATTAAAAATTGTCCTGGCTATTCCATCATTGCAGTCAGCGGGTGTTGCAAGTTCAACAGCCTTTATTCACCCCCGGAGCCGGGTGAGGCACGTTTTATTATGAATGCGCATGCTTTATTTGACGACTTGTGGACTGTTCAACTGCAACACCCGCTGACTGCAATGATGGAGCTTGGAATAGCCAGGACAATTTTTAATAGGGATGCACCGATACCGATACTGGTATCGGTATCGGGCCCGATACTGAGCTCCTGTACTCGTACTCGTTAAAATGCCCCGATACCAAACGCCGATACCACACAACATGTGTTAAGCGCCATATTCAAACAAAGAAACACCGACAACAGAACAACAGACAGCAGAAAGGAGTTAAGGATGTCTACTACGAAGTATATGTATGCAATGAATATAATGTTAAACATTCAGTATTAACGCCTATATAGCTGATGTGCGTGAGTTGATAAACAAAGCATGCTGAGTGGATTGAGTGTGCGGCGGCGCAGATGCGCGATCGGTACTCGGTATCGGCAAGTACCAAAAATAAAAGTATCGGTATCGGGCGAGTACTGGAAAAAGTGGTATCGGTGCATCCCTAATTTTTAATATAACTCAGACTGGATTCGTCTGAAAGAAGAAAGTCATATACACCTAGGATGCTTCGAGGGTGAGTAAAACACAAGCCAATTTTCATTTTTGGGTGAACTAACCCTTTAAGCTCAGTCCCCATACAGGGCAGAATCAACTAATTTTAAGCCACTTCATCAACATCTTTCACCATGTGTTCATTTCATTAGTGTTTGTGAAAGTTTTATCAGTAATTATGGCCTATGGCCTCTCATAAGAAACAGACATCTGTAGTCCAGTTGCCCAAAAAATGACTCTGATGAGCAGGTTCTTTTACGTGAATCAAAAACATTCAGTGCAGCCATTGTCATCCAACTCCTGAATGAATGACTCTTGTGAGCCAGTTCCCCTAAATTGAATCAAAAACTTACAATGAAACCAATGTATCCTGACTGCCTAAGTAATGACTCTTATGAGCCTGTTCCTTTTAGTAAATCAAAAACATACAACACAATGTAGATCACCTCCCTTTGAAATGAATCAAAAATATACAGCACACCCCATTTACTTCAATTTTGCAGATGAATTATTTGAACAAGTTGGTTCTTTGTAGGGAATCAAACTCAGACAGCTTGATTTGTGAGATTTGTGAATCGTACTCACATGAATCCTATCCAAACTGCCTTTCCAAACAGATGAGAATGAGTTTGCTGTTACACCAACAAAATAAACAGACTCCGGTCTACACCAAACACTACATGTAAATTGGCATTAAATATTTCACCTTTACTCCCAAGTTATATTAAAAGCAGGTGTCATAAAAGAAAAATGTTCAGTAAAATGGTTGAAAATATATGCCGTTCATGTTAAAAGTCAACTGTGCCTAGATGACAGATAATTAAGATGCTGTTTGGCTATACAGAATTCTGTATTAGCACAGCTATAGCAGGACTTCACAGAATAACATATTGCTCTGTATTCTAACACCTCCCTAAACAACCCACTGTCAAAACCAATAAAACATCCAAAATGCAGCATGGAATCAGGGGCGATGCATTATCCACCTGCCAAGGAGACCTATTTGAGCGGCTTTTCTCCTTTGCTTTCTTCCCGTTTTTCTTTTTCTCACTGCATTGTTGAAATGTATCAGGATGGCTCGTTCTGTTTCTCATCGCATGCAGCACGGCTGAGGTGCGGGGCAGAAGGGGCTGGTGCAAATGTCCTGCTGGGCTGCCAGGTTTCTTTTATTCATCCTACCTTGATGGAGAAATTTGTTATGGAAATATATGGTGCGTTAGGGGTAGCAGCAGGAAACCAGGCTGCAAAATAATGAATCGTGCTGGGAAGCCACAGCTCTGACCCATTTTATCAATGAATTTGTAATTACATATTTGACAACATCTACAGCACTAGATTCGGCATATTTATGCTGTAGCTTGGGTATACAGTAGCCCTCGTGTGGATCTTTTGATAGGTTTCTCACAAACAAGTTATTTGTGGATTCATTTGTTGTGGACACAACCAATGTTTTGTTTTGTTCAAATTCACCATATTTCATTCTCTGAATTTGCACCCTTCCAACTGCCTCAGTTTCTCTCTAGCAAGCGACCATAAAAAGTCCACTGGCCTTGTGGATCCATCTACATCCCTGGGAATTCAGTGTCCTCTGGCTGAGGAGAAAAGCAAAGTGACACAAATCATTTATTGTGTGTGTAATAATTCATAGTAACGGCACTTGGGACAAGTTATCAGCAAAGTAATTACCGCAAACCATGGAGAGAACCTTGTGCAATGGGCTCCATGTATCTCTCCATCTGCTGGTGATGGAGGTCAGTCTGCGTCTGCTGAGATATTGATAAGGTACAGCAAACGCAGACTGTGACATTCATTTAAGGGCTGTTGTCCTCACTGTAGAGGAGAGCAGGGAGTGCTATAACACATGAGAGTAAATTAGTGACAAGTTTAACCAGTTAGAAATGAGCTAGAGGGGTTCATTTAGAATGCATAGATAATTATTACTGATAAACGTCTCACGATTCCATTTAGAAACAAAGATGTTTTTTTGTTGGCAGGTTGTCTAGTAATATCCACCCCTGCTGTAATCCTCCAGTTTGTCAGATCTCTTTGAAGATGAACTCTGTGGCCCTCGTAAGACACGACAGCACTCTGCACCTCCTAAAGAGAGTTCCTCTCATCTCTGGAGATCACAATACTTCTTACAGGAGACTCAGGAAGAGTTCAGTGACCTATTATCTGTGCGGGAGATTAAGTTTGAGATTAGAAGCACATGAAAAAGTGTGGTCAAGCATTTTGGGTTAGGGTTGTAGGACAATAACAAAATGGTTTTGATTTGAATATTTCCTATAACTAGGGCCCTTGCACAAGGACATTAGTTAAAGGTGTGCAATTATCAATTCAGGGAAATAATTTTGCCATCTATGATCATGACCCTGAATGCCACAGTAATTTAATTAATCTTACCTAGGATTTCAGTTCTTCAGTAGCCTACATGCAATAGTAATTTTACGGAAGTAATTTTGCAGTGAATGCTCATGTGATCCTAGCTGACACATCCTTGCCATTCATTTTAAAGCTTAAAGCTAATTATTTAATTAAACCTCAGTTTCTCCTGGACTATAATGTTACATATATTAACATTTGCTACTGAATGCAGAGAAACAGTACATTAGATGACACTGAATAAAAGACATTGAGAGGTGTCAGTTAAGTGGCCTGCACTACGCCCTTCAGAGTGAGTATGGCATAGTTATGCCCTCTTTCAAATGGAATTCACCCAAGATTTCAGTCTCTATATATTTTTTTGTAATTGAAAACGAATTAAATTCTATGATATCTAAAGTTTTAAATCTTACAAATTATTTTATCCATTAAGTGCTTTAGAGAAGTTATAAAGTAAATAATAGAAAAATCTCTAACATCAGAATATCCTTCAAGCATGTGCAAATTTGCTGATAATAATTCAGCGAATACAAAGATATTCATGGATTATCTGCAGACATTACCTGCTGGATACGGTGCAACCATAAAACACAAGAGATCATGCCCAGGGAAACAACTGTATAACTTTATTCATAGTTGTTTTATAGCAAAGCAAACATCAAAGGATGAAGGCAGAAGTTCATCTGATATACAGTATGGCACCACTTAAAGAAGTAAATCAACCTTTTGAATACATTTTTAATCATTGTCAACCAAACAAAAACAAAACATATGCAAGGAAACCAAATAAAAACCCAAACAAAAGGACATACATTTTTTTGTGTGTGTGTTTAAAGAAAGAAATGCATCACTCAACATCTTAAGTAGTATTTAATTCATTCAAAGCCACACACTTACTATTTGCCTTTTATTTTTGCCATCACCAGTTTGTGATTATGTACTACTTATTTCATGAAATAAGGCAGATTTTTGAAGATGCAGAGACAATCTGGTAAAAATATTGAGAGCTTGCAATTGAGATCTGTTTATGCAAGTGAAAGGGAGGGAGACTGAGAGAGAGACTGTAAATAAAACATTTGAAACAATGCTGGCATGCATCTAGATACACTTGAGGGAATTAATTGGTTAGCGCACTCGTCAAAAACGGCCACGTCAGTCTGACACAACAGGTTTTATTTATTTATTTTTTAACAGGCATTCGCAGTAGTCAGAGCAGCTTTGAAGATGAAACCTGATCAATGCTCGTTGGAGAGATTAAAGGGGGGCTCTGCGAGCGTGACGTGTCGTTTCAAAGCAGAGGAGCGCACAAACGCCTTTGTTATATAGCGTGCAGTAGGGAGGAATGTCACCACTCGATAGGAGATTAGAATCAAGCGATGTTCTCCTCGTTTGACCTGACTTGGTTCTGAAGCTAACACACAAAGCGAAAACCTCTTTAAAGTGACATCATCGGTATATACGCACACTCATTCACACACAAATGGACATTTACAGCCATCTTGGTGTTGAAAGAAATCTTAATCGGTGGACAGGGCTGTGGAATTCAATCATATTTGGTCTGAATCTTGCATTATGAGTGCTCTGCGGGATAGAAAATTCAGCCTTGGCTTTGCACTTTGTCAGAAGTATTACAAATCAGCGAGCAACTAAAAGCGGCAGGATGATTTTAGGATGTGTTTTGACCAATCTACCTAATTTAAACCAGTTCAAATCCAGCACCAGGATGCCATATTGAGAAAAAAAACCAACTACAACAACAACAAAAAAACGATTGATCAAGCAGCATGTCAGTGAGGTATAGCAGCCCTCCTCTAGCTCCACAATCCCTGCAATCTCTCTGATATGTTCACACTCTCATTTGATCCTTTTTATATAGCTATATATCTGATTTATTTTTAATATGAGGAAGCGGAAAGGAAATACAGGTTGAATAGAAGGAAAGATGGTGAATGAAGTGGGGGTCAACACTTTTCCCAGTGTTTGTGGGCGACTCCCTGGCGTGGGACAAAATTGGTGTGATGTTTGCCTTCACACAGTTTGCCGGCACTCGTTCCTATGAGGCTGATTGTCGTCTCATTCCCGTGCATTCTTGTCACCTTGGCCATCTTGGAGAAAACAAACACGTCAGCAGAATGAAGTATACATGTACAAGTATACATGACAGATTAGTGTCAACATTAAACCAACATTAAGCCTATTTACTTTTTCTTTGTCAAACCCCCCCATTTCCAGCTATCTAGGTTCAGTTTTTTATTGTTACATATCAATTAGAAATGGAGCTGCAACTAAAATTAATAGACTAATTGGTGGACTATTTATTGATTCATCAAATAATCAAACAATTAATCAGGAAAAATTTAATTTTTTCTTATTTTAATCTGTATTTTATGAATTTATATTGTGCCAAAAGGTATTTTTATAACAAGAAAATATTAAATAATAAACATTAATATATAATATTCAATATACACTACCGCTCAAAAGTTTGAGATCAGTAAGACTTGTAATGTTTTTTAAAGAAGTCTCTTATGCTCATCAAGGCTGCATTTAAAAAATACAGAAAAAAACGTAATCTTGCAAAATGTTATTACAATATAAAATAATGGTTTCTATTTTAATATCCTTTAAAATATAATTTATTTCTGTGATGCAAAGCTGAATTTCCATCAGACATTACTCCAGTATAAAGTGTTACATTATCCTTAAGAAATCATTCTAATATGCTGATTTATTATTAGAATTATCAATGTTGGCAACAGTTGTGCTGCCAAATATTTTTTGGGAAACTGCGATACTTTTTTCAGGATTCTTTGATGAATAAAAAGTTAAAAAGAACAGCATTTATTCAAAATATAAATCTTTTCTAACAATATAAATCTTTGCTATCACTTCGTAACTTTAACTTTAATTTAACACATCCTTGCTGAATAAAAGTTTTAATTTCTTTCAAAAAAAGAAAGAATAGAAATGTACTGACCCCAAACTTTTGAACGGTAGTGTATATTGTTAGAAAAGATTTCTATTTTAAATAAATGCTCTTCTTTTTAACTTTTTATTCATCAAAGGATCCTGAAAAAAATCACAGGTTCCAAAAAAATATTAAGCAGCTCAACATTTTCCAGCACTGATAATAAATCAGCATATTAGAAGGATGTGACACTGAAGACTGGAGTAATGATGCTGAAAATTCAGCTTTGCATCACAGAAATAAATTATATTTTAAAGCATATTATAATAGAAACCATTATTTTATATTGTCATAACATTTTGCAAGATTACGTTTTTTCCCTGTATTTTTGATCAAATAAATGCAGCCCTGATGAGCAGAAGACACTCCTTTAAAAACATTAAAAACCGTTCTGATCCCAAGAAAAAAAAAAAAAAAAAAAAAAAAAAAAAAAAAATATCACTAACTAATGTTTTATTCTGAATATGAGACTGAGCTGAACATTTATATATATACACATACATACACACACGGACACAATAACAATATAACATATATAATAATCAAATCAAAATGAATATTTTTCCATTTGCATTTCTATAGCTTGAAGCTTAATGAACACTTGCTCTAATTTAAGAGCAACTTTCTTGCTGTTCAGACAGTCTGTTTTGACTTACATTTTAAGTTGACTTTAATATGATATAGAATACACTTTCTGTTAATTAAATAAAAGTCAAACTAAATTCTACCTGTATAACTGTGTTTGTACAGATACACACATAAAGATACTGTACTAAATTATTTCCTGTTAAACACGAAGGGAATGAATATAAATGGCATGCTGGGAGTTTGTATGTGCGGCCCTAAGAGGGAAGCTGACCCCAGGGGTCCCGAAATGACAGCACAGCAAAACTCTTATCACACATGATTTATCAGCTTTCTCGCACTGCGTCATCTCTGCGCTCCGATCACACACGCTTTGTGTTTGATTTATTAATGTCCGTGAGGTGGGCATGCAGGTAATTCATCAAACTCAATTTAAGGAGGCATGCCAACACGTTTACTCTGAAAAATCAGGGTCACTCCGCAGTTCCAGATCAGCAGAGAGAAAGTGAATGAGAGAGAAAGGAAGTGAAGGAATTGCGGGTAAAGCATATGAAACAGAAAAAGTTGGGAGCTTGAATGAGAAGGACAATGAGAGAGACAGGATATTTATTGAAGATGAGAACTGCGTAAGTGTGTTTCTCTGTTTTATTCACAGCTCATATTGATTTACCTTCAGAATTTGGTCTGGTGTCTGGTGGAGTTGCGTCGGGCTCTTGTGAGCTCTTATCCTGGGCTTTCACATCATCTAGACACATATTACGTAGAGAGACAGAGAAAACAAGGGAAGAAGGCAGAGTGAAGGGAATGAATGACTCAAGATCACAGCTGAGCAGAGGAATTAAAAGTTAGATGCCACTGGGTGACATCTCATTGGCTACTGGGCTTCTCCTAGCTGAAATAAATGCAGGGGATGCTAAAGGCTATGCCTGAGGCAACAGAGGCTTCAAGAGAAGAACATGAGATTGCAGAGCTCAGGATGACGAGATACACCTGTGCATGCATCTGAAAACACATCCTTTTCTTCTGTAGAAATAATAAAGCATGCATTTGAGTTTACTTGAGCAAATGCAACATTTCAGTCAGACAGTCTCTCAACTGTCATATAAAAAAAAAAAGTGGCAAAAAGGTCCATAACCTGAAAATTCAAATTTAAAAATGCATCCACACACGCTCTTATTTCTTCTGTATAAATATTGAAACATGCATTTGAATTGGAGTCGTGACCTAGTGGTTCATGCACATGCTCACAAATTACTGGGTGACATGAGTTTCAATCTGATCCTGTTGCTGTATTTTGTCCTCTCTCAACTTTCAAATAAATAAAATGGCTAAAAACTCATTTACATTTGGAAATGGACACGCACACGCACACACACACACACACACACTGCTTTCTTCTGTATAAAATATAAATAAGTCATGAATTTGAATTTAAACCATTAAATGATCAGAAGGCCAAAAAATAGTTTTAATTCACACATCTTTGTTTTTACCTTTAGTGCTGCTGGTGGGGTTGCTCTCATTGGCTGCTGTGACACTTTGATCAGCATCTAAATAAAAAGTCACAAGTGTTATGTTCTATGTGCTTTTCATTTCTTTTGATTTTATTACAATTATATTGGCTCCATATGCTGGATTCCTCATTATGATCTTCAGGAAGAAGAGTAACTACATATTTTAATCCCCCAAAACATTTTTTTTTTTTTTGGACACAAAATATCCTTTTAAAGTTCATATTTCAAATCACGAATTTGCATAGGTATGAAGGCCATTGAGACTTTTTTTCTCTCACAATTGAAAATTTATTTTTGTCTCAGAATTACAATTTTATATCTTTGACTTTTTCTTTTAATTCTGAGTTTACATCATACAATTCAGATTTATTTTTTTTCTCAGAATTTTGAGTTTACATCTTGCAATTCAGTTTATTGGAACCACCATGAAAAAAAAATTAAAAAGGTAATTCTGATATATGAATTTTCTTGCATTTGTGAGTGTATATCTCGCAATTCTGACTTTTAGTTTGAAAAGAGAGTCAACAAGAGAGTTTGGGGAAGTCGTGGCCTAATGGTTAGCGAGTCGGACTCGTAACCCAAAGGTTGCGGGTTCAAGTCTCGTACCGGAAGGGATTGTAGGTGGGGGGAGTGAATGTACAGCGCTCTCTCCCACCTTCAATACCACGACTGAGGTGCCCTTGAGCAAGGCACCGAACCCCCAACTGCTCCCCGGGCGCCGCAGCAAAAAATGGCTGCCCACTGCTCCGGGTGTGTGTTCACAGTGTGTGTGTGTTCACTGCTGTGTGTGTGCACTTTAGATGAGATAAATGCAGAGCACTAATTCCGAGTATGGGTCACCATACTTGGCCACGTCACGTCACTTCACTTTCACTTTTTTTTTTCACTTTCACTTTTATTTTTCTCAGACCTGCAATAAAAAAAGGCTAAATTGTGAGATAAAAAGTTACAATTAAAATTTTAATTACCCTTTTATTTAAATTCCGTGGCAGAAATAAGCTTCCATAACTTGGTGATTCCACTGAATATATTAAAGTGACTTAGTAGCTACTCACACTCTAGGCACAATCCCTGTGGAGTAACCTTTCGGGACTTGAACCTACATCCTTCCCAGTCTGTATCTTTAATAACTGCATCGGCCCAAGTGTAGTGTATTTAGACATCAACTTCAATAGGAGATTACTCTACAGCTAATTGGTTCTTTGGTATAAGACCAATGCATATTTTTTAAAATATGAAAAATATGGTCCAAAAGCCTCTCGACTTCAAGAGGAACAAAACAAATGCAGACGAAAGGGGAAACATAGAAAATTAATTAGAAACTGCCTTGAGTCTATATCAGTGTGAGCCTCATTTTCAAACTCCTCTATAAGTTTCTCTCTTCTATCTCTCTGCCTAAATACCAAAGCAAACCACAGCATGAAATAATCTCCTTCCTGCGGCACATCCATGGATGATGCAAGCGCACCCACCTCAGTGCTGCAGATTGTCTTTGCACTCGAACCATAGCGTTTGTCTGCAGAATAACAATATTTACCTTCATGAGAATCTTACAAACATCATCTAAACACACTGGAACATCTTAAACGTACAATACACATCACTGGCAGTGTAACATCATGGCGTCTGTTTTCACTGTGATGTTACATGCTTTCATGCTAATTTCACCACAAGCTCTGAAGCTTTGCTTTCAGCTGGAGAGACAATTTTTCGGGTTACGGTGGCAACATTTCAACAACTACAGACGACGGCTTTAATGCAACCCTTCAGAACGAGAGCTATCCAGACACTTCACTCTCTCTGGTGGCCAGCCCTCAAATTCGACTGATTTAACGGCGCAAAGCTACAAGTGATGGATTTGTGTTTTGGAGCTTTTTTTATTGGAGCTTTTTTTATTGGAGAAATAGAGCAGCAGCGGAGTGCCTGGATGAGGAAAGGTAAGGGCGAGCACGGGCAACCACCACCGCCATGATTTCATTTCATTCTTTTCTCGCGGCACCGTAGAGGGAGAAATTGAAACCGAGTGCAATACGATTCAGCAACACTGTTTCTATTACCGCCCACTTCTGGAAGCAAGTCTACTCTCTGTCCCTCGCTTGGTGTTTTATCCATATTCCAGCACAAATGGGGAGCTGGAGTAAACAAAGAATCACACACATGTATACCCCGAAAAAAAAAAAAAAAAACTTTTTTTTTTTTTTTTAGTATTTTGGTATTGTTTTCAAGTAAACATATCTAAAAATTCTTAAAACAATTAACTATTACTTGAGAAGAAAAAATGAATTTTATTTATTTATTACCCCATGACAAAAGGTTTAACATGAATAGAAAAATAATAGTGATGTTTATGCTTAAATAAAGTGAAAAATATTTGGCAACGAGCAACCAGGGTTAGTGTAAAACACACACACACACACACACGCACACACACACATATATATATATATAAAATGCATACTCTTAGTACATACTGTATAATCTTAATAAAGATATAATCTTAATAAAACAAAATAAAATCCATATAAAATGTATTAAATTATGTATAATTTTAATAAAAATACAGCAAGATTATTATTAGTATTTTTTAATATAATTTATCACACACACACACACACACACACACACACACACACACACACACACACA